GCAGAGGCTTTGTGAGCAGCCAGCATAGCTGGTGACCAAAACCAGTCATGCATATTTGTACCCACTCATTCAGCAGTTATCTGAGTGCCTACCAGGATGAGGCCCAGGGAAGAGAATTAGGATAAGAGTGATGTGATCTGTTCAGAGTTAGCATGTGTAAGCCTGTCCCAGTATCTGACCTGCTGCATGGCTGCTGCACCCTCCAAACTCTGAGCTGCTCTGTTGCTGTCTCCTGACTATTCCACCTTAACACCTGTCTTTTGTTTTGTTTTGTCTTTTGAGACAGGGTTTCTCTGTGTAGGTTAAGCTGTCCTGGACCCACTTTGTAGACCAGGCTAGCCTCAAACTCTGAGAGATCCACCTGCCTCTGCTTCCCTGAGTGCTGAGATTACAGATGTGCACCACTGCGCCTGGCTTTTAACACTTGTCTTTATCCCAGTTTTTCCCACATGCCTGTGAGTGGTAGCAGGAACCATGCAGACAGAGCCTTGTTGGATTCAGGTAGGATGGGTTTATCATAAGTGGTGCATCTGTGGCAATAGCCCCTCCCACATTGGTTTGCCTTCCAGATCTCTGATCTGGGTAGCCCTGTACTTACTTTTCAGGGTACAAAGGAAATTAATTAGTCAATTTAGTTATTGAGATAAGATTTCATATACCTGAGTTGACCTCATACTTATGGGTAGCCAGGAATATCCTTGAGCTTCCAATCCTCTGCTTCTACCTCCCAAGTTTTGGAATTATAGGTCTGTAATTATACATCCCTGATGTTAGGTGGTGCTAGAAATCAGACCCAGTGTTTCATGCATTGTAGGCAGGCACTCTGCAAACTGGTCTACATGTCCAGTTCCAGAGAAAAGAAATTTAAACCATGGCCAGTAAGTATCAGAGTTAAAGCTTGAACTTAAAGCTTTTTAGGATTGGGAAAAATGTAGAAATCAGGGGTACTGCTATACTGGTCTGATTTCAAAAGCAACATATTAAAAATGTGCCACAGCTGGGTATGGTTGTACACACCTTTAATCCAGTGCTGGGGAGGCAGAGGCAGTTGGGTCTATGAGTTTGAGTCTGGGCAGTTCCTGGACAGCCAGGGATGCACAATAAGACCCTTGTCTAAAATTAAAACTTTTAATATTAATTATATAACTTTGAAGGATTTAAGAAATATGTCATTATTACCAAGCTCATATCTAGAGACTTAGATATATAGATAGGTATATTTTTTCACCTCTAAAGATTTTCTGGGGGCTGGAGAGATAGCACAATGGTTAAGAACACTTGCTGCTCTTTCAGAGGATCTGAGTTCAATTTCCAGCAGCTGGTATGTAGCTTACAACCATTTCTACCTCATGTCCCAGAGGATCCAACACCCTCTTTTGGCCTCTGCAGGTACTGCATGCATGTGGGCACACGGACATACACATAAAGGCAACAGACTAATGCACATAAAATAAAAATAAAGGATAAAAAAAATTTTAAAGACTTCCTAAAATTTATATTTATACTTGTAACAAAATATACACACATTTTACAGCTTCCTTGTCAAAAACTTATTGTAAAAGTAATAACAGGCTTGTTATAAAACGTTAAAATGGGATAAGAATATAAAAGTTCAAAGTTCCTAGTCCTCTTAATATCAGAAGTAATTGATAGATTAATATTGCCTTCTAGACATTTTGTGTGTGTTTGCATGTGTAAATTTTAACTAAAAAGAAGTTCATAAATATACTTTTTGACAGTTGACTTTTTAAAAATTCTTTTTATTACGGGAAGTTTCAAAACTGCACATAAAAAAATAGAATACTACATAATCCTAACACATTATTTGTTTCTATTAGCCAACTTGTTTTTTTCTTGTTTCAGCTTTCATGCCCCCAGCCTCTATCGAGAGAGAGAGAGAGAGAGAGTATATGTGTGTGTGTTTGTACACCTATATACACATTGCATGAATGTGGAGGCTAGAGTTGACTGTCTACCTCATTCATTCTCCACTTCCTTTTTTTGAGGCAGGGTCTCTCACTGAGCCTGGAACTCACAGCTCCAGCTAGACTGACTAGTCTGGCCAGTGAACTCTAGGGATCTGCCATACTGGGACAACCCCACCCCACCTGGCTTTTGAGGTGGGGTTGGAAACAAGGTTTCTCTGTGTAGCTGTCATGGACTCCCGATTTATAGACCAGGCTGTCCTCAAACTCACAGAGATCCACCTGCCTCTGCCTCCCTGAGATTACAGGTGTATACCACCTTGCTTTTCACATGGGTCCTAGGGGCCCAAGCTTAGATCTTCAAATTTGAACAAGAAGCACTCTGTTGACTGAACCATCTCCAGAGCTTCATTCTGGAATATTTTAAAGTAAATCCCAAACATCCTATTCTTTAATAAATATTCTTACTGTGTACATACATGTATATGTGAGTGTTCTTCCTCAGGAGCTATCTATCTTGCTTTGTTGGCTAGCCAGCAAGCTCCAGGAATCCCTCTCAGCGTTGGGATTACAAATGTATCCCAGTGCCTGAGGTTTTTTTATGAGGGTTCTATGTATCAAATTCAGGCTTTAGTGCTCACATAGTAGCCCTTTACTGACTGAGACATTTCTCCAGCCCAGATAGTAATTTTGTAAAAGTTTCATAATACAGTTTTACCCAACAAAATTACCCAAGGAAAAATAAAACAAATGAGCATTAGTTTGAGGCACAAAATGGAACAGGCAGGCCTTTGTTCTTTAGACCTTCAACATTTATTTCTCCAGATAAACCTGTGGACCAGGCTGGACAGGCCACCCCAGATGGGAATTGACCTTGGAAACATTGTTAACCTCTGCCTTACTGTACAATGCTCCTTTCCTCACATTACTCAGAGACTGAGACTGTACCCAATTAATTTCTTTTTTCATTTTTAAACTATGTTTACTTATTTATTTTTGTGTGGTGTGTGGGGTCATACACAAATTACTGCAGTTGGTTCTACCATGTGGTTCCAGAAATCAAACTCAGACTGTCAAGTGCCTTTACCAGCTGACCTCTCTTACTGGCCCCCAATCAATTTTTTACAAGACATACTTTCTGAAATCAAGTGATAAAATCTCTAATCCTTTAACAGTTTAAACATGCATTTCTAAGACGCTTTTCGGGGAGGGGGGATTTTTGAGACGGAGTTTTTGTATGTAGCCTTGGATGTAAAGCAAAACAAAACAACAAAAAAACACTTCCAAGTAAAATGTGTTTTTGTTTTTGGTCAGCTTGGCTGATTTTTTTTTTCTCAGTTGTCAATTCCCTGAATGTCCAGAATATTGACTGGTAGTGCAGGCGTGTATCATGTGACACAGTCATGTAACACAGTGACTGATATTACAGGCATGTGTCACCATACCAAGCTAGTTCTTAATTTTAAAACATTTTTTTTTTCAACAAGCAAGTGACTGAGGAGATGGCTCAGTGGTTAAGAGTGCTTGCTTGATGCTCTTGTACAGGACCTGAGTTCTGTTCCCTGCACCCAAATGGTGGCTGCAACCATCCTTAACTCCAGTTCCAGGGGACCTGATATCTTCTTCTGACCTCTGGGTATATATAGATATACATAAATACCTGTAGGCAAAACAGTTGGACACATAAAATGATGTAACTCTCAAAAAGGATTTTTTTTTAAACAAACAATAAAACACTGGTGCTTGGGAATGTGTATATATCAGTGATGGAGTGCTTATTGTTGAGCTGGTGCGTGTAAGGGCCTGCATTTACTCCCTAGCACCACACACCACACACGTGCACAATTATAAATGGTGAAGATCTTGGAAATGAGGCTAGCAAGACTGTGAGTAGCCAGCTGCCCTTCTGGGACATCACGTAAAATGATGTAACTGAGTGAAAAAGTGGCAAAGAGCCTACCTCTCTCCCTGCTCAAGTCACTAAGCTGCTGTTGTAGTGAGAGATGCTCATGAGCCCCAAGCTTCAAGTCTGCAGTGGAAGGCTTCTTGATCTGAGAAAACCAGCTTTTGGGACTTCATCTTCTCTTATTTGGAAGCTGAAATCAAGGTAGTCTTCTGGTACCTCAGTGGTGAGTCATTTTACACAAGAGAAAAGCATGGCCAAGAAAAAGTATGGTTCCTAGCAAGCTGGAGGCTGGGCTGAGTATAAGCTATTCTCTAACTATGGTAACCATCCAATATTAAGTACTTCTAATTTCTGGGATAATGCGGGCAACCAGATGAGGCTCCTGACAGGTTCCTAATTGCACTCGGAAGTCCTGGGTGTCCCTTGTATGAATCTCATTGTCTTTGCTTGGTTCTTTGATTTAGAAGTGGTGGTCAACAATAATATATTTCCACTGGCCATTGATAACCAGCTTTTTCTGTGGTGATTTGGTAGGGTGAATACAAATAGTGTGCCAGAAGGCCTGGTCTCAAATCCACACTAGTCACCTAGGTAGCTAACTCAGGCTTCAGTTTCCTGACGTGATCAGGATTGCCCACAGCATGAGTACAGATGACTTTGGGTGGTATCGGAGGGACAACTTTAAGCGTGTTGATTAAATTTAGTCAAAATAAGGTAAGTGGTATCCAGCTGGCAGAAAACATCAAAGATCATCATCTGGCTGCTCCAAGCATCCTAATCTTTTAGTCACAGAAATTTCTTTATATTCTGTCATATACCAATCAGTCTTGAGTAGATTCTATTCTCCTAGGCAACATAAATTGTCCAGAATTAAAATGGAGCATATATTTATTATCTGTGTGGTTAATTCAGGAGAATATAGGAGAACTTTGTTGAGAACATTCCAGATGCTGTTCTGTTTTTTTGCAGTTTGTGTTTTATGAGATGTATTTGGGCCGTGTTCTTGAGCAACTCATGAGAAGGGCATAGCCCCACAGCTACTGTCCCTGGGAAATCTGCTCCCAAATTCAGTCATAGAGTTTAGAGCTGAGAGAACATGGAGGTGTTGACTTGGAATTTGGGGGAAGTAAGCTGCAGCAGTGGACAGTCACATGCTTTCTGCCTTTCAGGATTGTCTTGAGAATCTTCACTGAAAGCTTTGCTGGCAGGCAACGATGGCAAGTAAGGGGCCCTCGGCCTCTGCATCCACTGAGAATTCCAGTGCAGGAGGACCCAGTGGCAGCAGCAATGGCACTGGTGAGAGTGGAGGGCAGGACAGCACTTTTGAGTGCAACATATGCCTGGACACAGCCAAGGACGCTGTCATCAGCCTGTGTGGCCACCTCTTCTGGTGAGTACCCCTCCTGCCCTCTCTGTGGGAACCCTACCAAGTGTGAAGTTTATGGCCCTGGGAAGACGTTTCACTTTGGACAGATGTTTGGAGTAGAAGATGTTTTACTCATTTTGAGTTCTGATATACTCAGACCCAAGAGACAAGAAGCCTCAGTTTCTATCTCAGCTCTATTGCTGTAAGGTCTGGATAACCTTGGGCAAATCTTGTTCCCACTCTGTCCATCCTCTTGTCTCTCCCGTAGTAATGCCATTTTGTGAGCATTTACTGCTACTTGCTGTGATGAGCCTACAGACAGTATTGCACATTGGTTTTGAGCAAGAACGGTGGAGCCAGACTTCCGCCCACGTCTTGACTCTGCCACTTCCCTACTGGAAGACCTTAGACAGGGTGCTTACATGCACTCTGCCTCATTTTACATGCTTATTTCTGAGTATTAAATGACCCCAAATAGTAAGGATGTGCTGGCTATGATTGCAATTGTTCTGTATTTTATGTGTATGTTATAAAATGAAGCAACGATGTCAGTGTCCTTCTAGTCTCGGTGCTTACCAAAACCCTTGCTGTTGAGTGGGGGTTGATTTTCTCTGGAGATGTTAAGCTGAACTTTGAAGGATAGAGAGAAACCTTGAACGTAGAGGCAAATAAAATGAAGGGTATGTGCAGCACCAGAGCAGGTAATTTCCAGAGGTGGGCATGTACACTCAGAGTTCATCTGAGGCTAGTGGCCTCCTTTCAACAGAATCCTGGATGGTGCTTGGGTGTGTTAGAGATAAGAATGGTTGTGGAGGGCTAGACCAGATAATCAAACTCAGGGGTCATAGAGCTGATTAATGTTTTTGTGCAGAAATATGGTGAAAAAAAAGCAGTATTTGGAAGAGTTTAAATTCTCAGCAATATAAAAGGTAAATTTGTTGATGGATAGCCTAGAACAGAGGTTTTTATTTAAAAAAAAATTTTTTTTGCCCTAATGTTGTTTTGTATAGACCAAAGTAACAGAATTAAGAATAGAGGCAGCTGGATGTCAGGAGGCAGAGGTCTCTGTGAGTTTGAGGCTAGCCTGGTCTACAAAGTGAGTCCAGGACAACAAGGTCTCTGTTACACAGAGAAATCCTGTGTAACGGGATCTCGAAAAACAACAAGAACAGGAGAATAGAGGCAGAGTTGGAAAGAACAGATTCAAAGCAGTATGTGTCCAGGCTGTAGTCCTTAGCAAATCTGTGTCTTCTCTGTCCATCAGCTTCCTCTGTTCTGTACAATAGAAATGGTTATACATCCTGGAGGCCATCAACTCAGCCCCGCTTTGACACCTAGTAGTTGCTTCATAAGAAGGAATCTTTGGGGCTGGAGAGATGGCTCAGTGGTTAAGAGCACTGTCTGCTCTTCCAAAGGTCATGAGTTCAATTCCCAGCAACCACATGGTGGCTTACAACCATCTATAATGTGAACTGATTCTCTCTTCTGGCAAGTGTAAATGCAGATAGAACACTCATATACATAAAATAAATAAATCTTAAAAAAAAAAAAAAAGAAGGAATCTTCATTATTGTTTTTGTTTGTTTGGTTTTTGAGACAGGATCACTGTGTAGGTCAGCCTGATCTTAAGATTCTAGCACTCCTCTTGACTGTGCCTCTGGAATCCCACCTTTAATACAATCCTAAACTTTGCTCGGAAGGTCATTTATTCAAACTCCCCTAGAACATTGAGGGAGCTCTGGTGGAGTCCTGTTGTGATTTGAGGTCCACTCTGGAGAGGTTACAGTGGCCAGAAGCTCATTGTTGGGTTCACCTACAAGCATCTCTTATAGCTAGGATCCTGCATTTGTGTGAAGCTAGCCTCCTTCAGGGATTGACAGAAGCACTGTCTTTTTAGGCCATGGTTTTATTCATCTGGAAAGACATTTGATGTGTGAGAGACACCGTGGCTGCCACACAGTTAATTGTAGTAGATATTTGTTTATTTACTGTCTTACTACGATAGAAATGAAGTACTAAAAATCTGGAATTGAATAACTTTCCTTAACTGATATAATGTCATGGTTTTTATGCAGCGCTAAATATTGAAAAGACAAAGAGAGGGGCCTGAAGAGCTGGCTCAGCCGTTAAGAGCACTGACTGCTCTTCTGGCCTGGGTTCAGTTCCTAGCACCCAAATGACAGCTCACAACTGTCTGTAACTCCTGTTTCAGGGGATCCGACACCCTCACATAGATACATGCAGTCAAACACCAATGTACATTTAAAAAATTAGTCAATTAATTAAAAAAAAAGAAAAGAGAGTTTTTAGTCCTGATGTAAGTTAACTGTTTCTAAACCTTGGATTCCTCCTTTGAAAAACAAGACACTGGAACCAGGGGTATGGCACACACCTGTATGTAATCCTAGTACCCGGAAGGGAACTGAGGAGGTGACTCAGTAGTTAAGAGCACTAGCTGCTCTTCCAGCGGACCTAGGTTTGCATCCACATGGTGGCTCACAACCATCTGTAACTCCAGTCCCAGGGGATACAACAACCTATGGCTTCTGTGGACACCTGGTACACATGTGGTCCATAGACATACAAGTAATCAAACACTCATACACATAAAAATAAACAAATAAAATAACCTGGTACCCTGAAGTCTGAGGCAGAAGATCATGAGTCTGAAGCCATTCTGGGCTACATGGTGAAACCCCGTATTTAAATAAGTAATTTTTGTTTAAAGGAAGAGGTATTAGGCAGCAGCTCTATAAGATGGAAGTAACCCTCTTTCCCATTTAGCCTCTCTATCCTTTCCATTACAAAGGTGTTTTGAGTAGGCCTGGTCTTTTGAACCACTTCCTGCTAGAAGCGCAATTTGTTAAATTAGATCTGAAATAATAGAGAATCCATCTATCACTTGTGAGCCTGAGGAGGCTATGAACCTGCTGATGTTGGTGCATATCGTGTGTGTGTGTGTGTGTGTGTGTGTGTGTGTGTACGCATTTGTGCGTGCTTTCATGTTGTCATGCGTTACATGACAGTGCGGACTTTTCTTGCAGGAAATACCTGACTTGTATTGGATTCCTTCTGAGCCTATAATATCTCAAAGACTAACCTGTGGATAAGTTGTGCCAGGGTGGGCTGGGTTTTTTTAGTGGGGTTCAGGCTGGAGACTGGAGTCTTGTCCATAATCTCTTGTTTTAGCCTTTTCTTGTTTGTTTTGTTTTTTTCATTTTGCTATTGTTTTAAGACAGGGTCTCCTGTAGCCTGTAAACGCAATGTCACTGCTGGTTGAGGATGACCTTGAACTTTTGATCCTCCCCTGCCCTTGCCCCTGCCCCTCAAGTGCTGGATTACAGATGTGTGCCTCCAAACCCAGTTCAGCCCTCCCTACCTTTTCCTATCGTGTGATGAAGCTTTACTGGGGTTACAGCACCCAAGTTACCCCCTTCTGATGTCCCTTCCTTACTCATGGAGTATTTCTGCTAATGGAAGCATTTTTTTCCTTCTTCCTGCTTTCCTTCCTGATGATTGGCCGCCCTGGGGACTCTGGTAGTTGGCCGTGTTTACATCAGGTAAGCTGTACTTCATTTTACTTTGTCTTTCATCAGCTAGAGTTGCACAAGACGGCCTTCATCTCAGGGGACTACTGTCAGAAACTGCAATCTCCCTTGCTTCTGGGCTCAGTTGCCCTTTTTATACACCTGCCCCCACAGGTTTTTGATGTAATGAGGTCTTTTCATACCTAAGTTAGTTCTGATTCTGCCAATAGCCATTGTGGCCTTGGCTGCACCACTTTTCTGTGTTTCAGTGACTTGTTTGCAGATGGGTTGGGTTTGATAATGTTGGATCCTTTTTAAAAATTTGTTTGTTTTAAGACAGAATCAAATGTATCATAAGTTATATGCTCAAACTCATTATGTAGTTAAGGATGACCTTGAAATCCTTCTGCCACAATGCCCGTTTCATGTAGTGCTGGGAACCCAGGATGTTCTGCTTGTTATGTGATTGATCTGCTAACTAAGCCACATCCTCAGCTAACTTCTGAGGTGGAGAGATAGCTCAGTGATTAAGAAGGCTTACTGCTCTTGCAGAGGACCAATTTCAGTTCCCAGCACTTAGATCTCCAGCTCCAGGGGCTCCCACACCTCTGTGGGTTCACCCCACACACACACACACACACCAAGATAAAAATAAATCTTGACTTAATAAAAAGGTAGCTTCTTTCCTATAAACACACTTCTCTTTCCTGAGACCTTGACATTGTTGAGGAGAGATGAACTTTTTGGTGTGAACAGCTTTTGCAGAGGAGGAAAGTCTTTTTTCCTTGTTTTGATTTACTATGAAAACCAGTTAGTGTTCACTAAGGACTGGGCCTGGCATTGGCAACTGGATGTGAGTGTCACAATAACCATCACCACGGTTGAGAGAAGTACAGCACCACACTGCCAGGTGGCTTAGGGGTGGGGGCAGGCACTAGAAAGCTCGGTTTTAGGAGAAAGAAGAGGGAACTAGGGATGAACATTCTGACTCAAACAAACCTGGAAGAATAAACAGCAGAATATATTGGTGTGAACTCTGGAAGATCATGTAACTCAGGTTTTGGAGCTATTGGCAAGTGGGGAATGTAGGATATAAAATCATGAAATGCTGCTATTTCTGTATCCCTGGAGTCTTTGTTGCCTATTCATATAATAAACTTTATATCTTCATGTCTAGAGCTGCAGTGTACATCCTAAAATAATATGGAGGGGCTGGGGCATAGTTCATCCATAGTATGTATACTTATTATGTGCTCTTAGAGTTTAATCTCTAGTACTAAAAATAAATAAAGGTAAAGAAAAGAAACCTTATAATGCCCAGAAAGAAGTCATAAGTTAGGTGTGGTGGCATGTTCCTGTAATCCCTGTACTTAGGAAACAGAAGGTGTGAGGATTAAAAGTTGAGCATCATCTTCAAATATATGAAACTCTGCCTCAAAAAGAAAAGGGAAAAAATACAAGTACAACATTTAAAAAATAATTTTTGTTCTTTTTTTTTTTTTTTAGCAAAGTTAAATAAAACATGAATAAAGTTTAGATAAGGAGCAAAATCTATCTATCCCTTAACACAAATCCCTGGTCATATAAGTGACCCCAAAATGATTGACACATACAAATGCTGATGTCAGGTTACACCATTGTTGGAGAAATGCTATAAAAATGAGAATTTGGGGATGGAAAGACAGCTTAGCAGTTAAGAGCATGTATAGCTCTTCCCGAGGACCCAGTCCAGTCCCCAGTCCCCATGCTCCAACTACCTGTAACTCCAGCTCCAGCTTCCTCCTCAGGCGTCCGAGAGCACACATATTTGTTTGCACATGCCCTTGCCCTCACTGACATAGCCATGATTAAAAATAAGACACATATTTTTAAGAAAAATGAGAAGTCACAGAAAGAAAAACAGGATAATGATAGTATGATTGATCCTGAAAGTGAGGTTCTGGTCACACCAGGAGCCTGCCTGTGAGACCTCAGGCTTGCAGCTCCTTCTGTGCTGTTTATAGTCCCAAGAGAGTAACAGAGAAAGAAATTTGTTTAATTACTGGTATTTAAAGGCGATTTTGATTTTTATCCCCGGTAAATATTTGTCAGTGCTAGAAATAGAGATCAGACTGTGGTTTCTAAAGGTTCCCAACTCAGGCTACTCCCACTGTTCTTTTCCACTTTAAGGACTCTGACTCCACATTCACACATTGCACTTGACTGAGGACAGGGCAGCTTTGGACCAATCTTGTGTTTTTCTCTCATTTGCAGTGGTTGGAGACAAGACCTAACAGACAAGTATGTCCGGTTTGCAAAGCTGGAATCAGCCGGGACAAGGTCATCCCACTGTACGGCAGAGGCAGCACTGGGCAACAGGATCCCAGGTAAAGACTCACTTCATCTGATACCCATGTCCCCACTTGGATGTCAGTTCATGTCCATTTAGCACTCTAACACTGGGTGTATGCTGATGGCTGCTTGATTCTGAGGCATTTTGATCAAGATGAGAGTCACCTGGGAAGGGTGGGTCCTGAGAGCGCAGAGGAGCCAAGCTGCTGCTTGTTGGCCTATTCAAACAGCTGTTCAGCGTCATCTGCCAGCAGGCAAGCAGTTGGCTGGTACTCTGCAATGTTGTGAAAGCTTCCTGCAGCCTAGGAAGCAGGAGCCCAAGGTTTGCTGCACCAGTGAGTGAGTTGAGGGAGGTAGGGAATAGGAAGTCTGGATGGCTCTGTGGGGGCTAGGATTTCAGAAATGGAGATGAAGGTGTCCCTTTTGACCTGGCACCTGGATCTTTCCAGGAAAATGTCTTTTCTCTAGCACCTCACCTGACCCGACCCTACGTCTCCTGCTACCAGACATACTTAACTTCTCTTAAAGGGTTTGTCCTACTATACTTGCCCCAGTTATATTTGCTCTGTGCCTTCTACTCAAACTACCACCCTACTTCTGCAGCTTTTTCTGGATTCCTGCCCATATTTTCTGAAAGCCTTAAAGTCCCCTCCTTGACTTGATCTCTCTTCTCCGTGTGAGTTGCCCTCATCCATATCCCTATCACACACACTAATCCTTCCACCCTATATTGTGATTGGTTGTATCTTTCCTGAAATTATCATCTCAAGAGTGGGCTCTATCACCAATATTAGTACTAGTTGCATCACTAGAGGTAATGTGAAATAAACTCTCAGTCAAGCTGTTTGAGATGGGTGATAGGAGGGCCTGAGACCTAGAGGCAAAAGTAAAACATAGTATGGGGTACTAGCCCAAAAGTAATAGAGGTCAAACTAAAGTTAATTGGGGCAGATTAGAGAGAGCTTGAACCTTAACCCTGTCAGCTGACAATCACTCCTTGGTTTTCGTCAGGGTTAGGATTTCTGGCACCCATGAGCTCATATCATGTAGGCCCAGGAAGGGCAAAACTGGCCCCTTTTCATAACCATTGGCCAAGATCTCTGTTGTAAGGGTAAAGCTGTGCAGTCTGTTGGCTTCCTCAGAACAAGCTGCTTTTCCTGAATAAAGATGGAGTTAGTATTTGGTTACGCCAGCACAGTTTTATATGTTGAACAGGAGAGTGACCCAAACCTTGTTGTTCAGTCCTCATGGGGGGAAACTCACAATATTTCCTCATGGCTTTACTTTGTACCATTTCTTTTCAGAGAGAAGACTCCTCCTCGTCCTCAAGGCCAGAGGCCAGAGCCAGAAAATAGAGGGGTAAGGAATATTCTAAGAAAAAGCTTCTAAAAAAAAGAAAAGAAAAGAAAAAGCTTTTAGAAGTGTGCCTGTGGCTTTTGAAATTTTCTTGTTGACTTTGCAGTTTTTCTCTTTGGTTCTAAAAATAAAGGAAAATTTATAAAGTACAGACAGGAGGCAAGCAGGGAGGCAAGCAGGGGAAAATCCTAGGACCACTCATCCAGAGATGGCCACTGGAAGTGTTTGGGCCTATGTTCTCATCTTCCTTTACTGTGCATGTGTGTTATGTGTGCTTATTGACTATGCATTTACATATTTTTTAGATTTTTTAAAAAAATTAATCTTTATTATTGTTGTGTGCATATGGGGGTCCTATGTGTTGAGGTGAGAGGACACTTTGGGGAGTCAGTTCCTCTTGCTTCATGGACTCTGGAGATGGAACTTAGCATGTTAGGATTCATGACAAGCTCCTTACCACCAGATTGGTTTACCAGCCTGATTATTGGAGTTTTGAGATAGAGTCTCACTACGTATCCCAGGTTGATCAGGAACTCATGATCCTTCTGCCTTAGACTATGTAATGCTGCTATTATAGACAATAGGCCACCATGCCTGGCTTACTTTTATTTTTTTACTTTTTTACAATTTTAAAAAATATCTACAATATTTTTTTAAATTTATTTAATTTTTATTTTATGTCCATTAGTGTGAAGGTGTCAGGTCCATTGGAATTGGCGTTACAGACAGTTGTTTGCCATGTGGGTGCTGGGAATTGAACCCGGGTCCTTTTGACCAGCAGATGGTGCTCTTAACCACTGAGCCCCACAATATTGTTTTATAATTCTTAAATGTTCATCTATTCTACAGAAACTAAGTGCCTTAATGTGCTCTGGTAATTACTGTGGCAGTGGTAATTTATCAGCTAACCTAGCAAATGGTCCATGCCTTCATGGAATGTACCCATGAGAGTTGGAGAATTTTAGCAGTGCAGTGTAAGACGTTGCTGAGGCGCATAGTCATGACAATTAGCATTTGACGTTCAGTTGTGTAGACCGAATGTAATGGCATATATTATAGGACACGTGCTTATTGCCTGAAACATAAGCAGTTTTGTGCAGAATCACAATTATTTTATTATAATAAATTCTTAGACTTACTGGCTCAAAATATGTACACATTTAAACAAAATATTGGTCATTTTTCAAATAGCAGTTTTGTATTAAAATATTAATGAGGGCTAGGAATGTAGCTCATGGCCAGGAACATAGTAGCAGTCAGACAGGCGTGGTATTGGAGCAGTAGCTTTGAGCTTACATCCTTATCTACATGCAGGGAGCAGAGAGAGCTAACTGGAAATGTCTCAGTCTTTTGAAACCCAGAACCCAGCTCCAGTGACACCTCCTGCAGCAGGGCCACACCTCCTAACCTTTGCCAAACAGCTCCACCAAACTAGGGGCCCAGGCCTTCAAATAGGAACCTAGAGGGGCCATTCTTACTCAAACCACTATAGCTACCTAGTGAATTCAGTGCCCGCTTGGAATACATGAAACTGCCTCGAAGAATTAATAAAAAAATTTAAAACATTAATGAAAATTGAAAGGAAATTATTTACCCGAACCGTTAAGAGTCTTAGAACCAAGTATATACTACTTTCTACAGTTCTCTTCATTTATATACCATATGTTCTTTTAATTTTATTATAAATTCCGGGTGTAATGGGTATATTCATGATTGTAAGAAGCTAGGCATCATTTTCCAGTGAAGTTAGAATTGAAGGCCATTTTGAGCTATCCACCATGGTTCTGGGAACTGAACTCAGGTCCTCTGCAAGAACAGCATGTGCTGTTAATCATGGAGCCATGTCTGCAGCCTCTACTTAATTCTATGTCCCTCTTACTATTCTGTTAACTGGCTTCAAATTTAATTTTGGCAGTATATTTCATGATAGTCTAAACAAAGAATCTTCAAAATGTCATGGTGGTTTTTTTCTTAATCTTGTGTTTTAGAGGGGTGTTTGTTCAAATTCTAGCTTTCTTAATAGTTTTATCATTTATTTATGCATATGTGAGGGTGTTCTCTGTGGAGGCCAGAAAAGGACATGGGATCCCTAGATTCTGGAGTTACAGGTGATTGTGAGCTGCCTGAGTGGGTGCTGGGAACTGAACTCTGGTTTCTGAAAGAGCAGGCCATGCTCTTAATTATTCAGCCACCTCTCCAGCCATTCTTGTCTTTATTTTTGAGAAAAGGTTTCCATATACAGCCGGCCTTGAGTTCAGCCTCTCAGGTACTTTCGTTAAAGGTATGCACCACCTCTGTCGGATTGTTTTTTTATTGTTTACTTTTTATTTTCTTTTGCATTTTGAGGCAGAGTGTCAGGTCCACTGCCTAGCCAGTAGTAAACACTTCTTGAATGACTTTGTAGAAAAACTATATGTTAAGAATTTTGCTGGGTGGTGGTGGTGCACACCTTTAATCCCAGCCTTGGGAGGCAGAGACAGAAGGATCTCTGAGTTCAAGGCCAGCCTGGTCTACAAAGTGAGTTCCCGACAGCCAGGGTTCTTGTTACACAGAAAAAAACAAAACAAAAAACAACCAACCAAACAATAGTTTGTGTGCCTGATCTCCCCTAAGCCTCTTATAAATCCCTGTAAAGGGTAGCTAAGGGACAGATATGTGTAGTGTTTCTGCCCAGGGCACAAACAGAGCCAAAACCCAATCTGGGTGCTAATGAAGTCCTGCCGTTGACTGCTAGACAGCTGCCCTTTACCTTCTAAGGCTCTGCTTGCTCAAGCAGCATTAGCAACCAGAAGAAATTAGAAACCTCAGTCCAGAAGCTTTGGCCCTTGTGGCCAAGGGCACAAGTCTAGTATAAGCACCTGTAGCTGCTAGTAGTCTAGTTCCTTGCTTCCTTCCTTCCTTTTCCTTTCCTTTCCTCCCTCCCTCCCTTCTTTCCTTCCTTCCTTCCTTCCTTCCTTCCTTCCTTCCTTCCTTCCTTC